CCCAATAACTTCATGACTTGTGTTGTCGCAGTGGCAGCACATGTCCTTTTGGTGCTATAAAAAGGGATTCAGTTAATGTAAAAAGAAAAAGAAACAGAATATAAAACATGTATTGACCTTGTGGTTGTGTGGCTAAGAATTCTAACTCCACATTTTCCATTTTGAAGCCACATGCCACAGATTGTGTCCATCAGGTTGTTACCTTCATGATGTCCTAAGTTATGTACATGAAGTATTTCAATAATAAAAATTACAATTTTTTAGTTCAAAGTAAATTTAACCTTTTTATTTTTTCGATATACCTAATTTTTGAAATTCGTTATAAAATATATACGGCACACACAAATTAGCGACTACTTTTGTATTATTATTGAAGGGTAAAACAGGAAGAGGACGTTACACTGAAGGGCTAGACAGGAAACGTATTGTGATGGCGTAGTACAGTAAAATTGACGTGCTGAGCTTTAAACTCGAGGCTTCAGCTGTAGCGGCATTTGATTCAGACGAACCGGTGGAGGAGGAGGAGGAAGTTACCGGTGTTGGTGTTGCTCAGCTGGACTCACCTGGACTTAGGTACGATACGCATTTATACCCACCGTTTATTATCTTTTCTAACTTTTAACAGAAATACTCCGAACAGATGTCAAACAGAGTCGGGTATTTCTGCTTTCCTGTCGTTGTTGGGTTTTTCCTCTGTTTAGTCTGCTTCCGAGGCTGCTGCTGTTTTTTTCTTTTTCTTTTTCTTTTCTGTGAAATGGTAAAAATTTGAAGTGATGAAGGTGCAGTTGTTTAATTCACCACGAGAGGCAACAGGGGGCTTATGCTCAATTTATTATTGCATCGCGTTTGTTGTGTCCACCCTCAAGAAGTGTATTTTTTTTATTCCGTAAGAGACTTATGTTTAAGATTAGCCATGACAATTTGTATTTATATTGATAAATGATGGTCAAACTGCAGCACTCGATTGGTGATCCTAGTCATCGTTCTGACAATGGTTTGGACACACGTTACTTGTGCCAACTGGGCAGAAATAATCATAAATCCCTTTTTTGATCATTACTTTCACTTGCCACATATTAACTTGTCATACATGTAATTCAAACCTGAGAGATATTTAGAGGAGGTACTTCAAACAGTAATGTCATCCACAAACCTTGGACAGGACTTAAGAAATTACATCAGAGATGTAAGGATGAGGGGAATACAAGGTTGGTTTTTTTGACAAAACACTAAGAAATCATTGAAAGTGCTTGAAATAAACATGGAAAAAAAACATGTTCATTTCTTGAAGAAGAAAAAACACACAAATCAACAGTATAATAAAATCCCACACATAGGTAGAATAAATATAAACCTCTGCCAAAGAGCAGGACTCTACAGAACTCTTGGAGACTAAAGAGGGAAAGGAGAACCGGTGGGAACATAAAGGAAAGTGTGCGGAAACTTTCCTTAGTTTGTTTCAGGTAGATGGACAAGTGATTTTCATGATGATGCTCAGATAAAACATTTGTCAGGTCACAGATCAACAGTTACTTTATCTCTGATCAAGTTGATTAAATCGTCACAGTTCAAGGACACACACTTGAGTGTCCATGCGTGCCCTTACTTTCACACACGCACCAGCATTATTCAGTGTTTCCTGTTGTGGATGAACAATGAGACACGGCTCATTGTCATCAAAGAGTGTGTGTTATTGTGTTGGGGGAGACAGGGTCGTCTGTGCTTCAGACACTTGTTAATGAGTTCCACCACAGACCTTCCACTGCCCCCCACCCCCCTGCACACACACACACACACACACACACCTCTACTCAGTGGTCAATTGGCTGATATTGATCCCATCGTGTCAGGGCTCCACTCAGTGCCCAGATAAGAACACCGTTGGAGTTAGAATGACTGCGTTTTGTACAAGAAGAAACTAGCAGAATGACTTTCAGCTCATTCTTTCCGTGTCTCCTTCTCATATTACATGTATTATTCTTTGATAACACCAGGAGCAATAGCAATTTTAATCTTCCTGGTGTGGCTGCAACTGAAGTTGTTTTCACAGTTGATTCATCAGATCTATTTTTTATTAGTTGAAGTATTAGAAAAGTATATACTTGTGCACGGAAGTGAAAAAAAAACACAACATCTGACCTTTCTCTTACCAGACAAAAACTAACCCAGTCCTATTAGTTCACAAAAAAATGCAGTTTTTAATTTGGTTTCTAGCCCTCATCATTATGTCACGTAATGCTCTGTACTGTAAACCACTGCTGCTGACACTACTCTTTTTTTCAAACAATTAAGTTCTGCTAGAGCCCAACCTGAAATCTTACATGTCTTGAATTGCCTGATAACTTACGTTACACACCTTCATTTTTGTGTCTGTTACCAGGGCTTTTTGTTGTGAGCAGCAGGAAGGTCATTTCATATAGAAATTGTTGAAGCCATCTTGCTGTAAACTATGACTGCACAGTGAGGCTGCAGGAGAAGACCATAAGTGGTCCACTGTTCTACAAGTAACGCCATTTGAATAACAGCCAGTGGGACAACATTTATCAGTATGAAATATAAATGTGTGCGTGAGAGGAAGAGCTCAGCACTTCAATATCTGCTCTGACCCTTGACCTGTATGTTGGATCTTGTGTTTATTGCAGAGCGGGCAGCGGCTGACATTTTGGAACAAGTATGTCTGTTGTCTTCACGCAGCTGCTTCTGCTGCTGTGGAAAAACTTCACCTACCGACGACGACAGACGGTAAGTGTCGCTGCGGGAACAGTCGAAAAAAATGATGGAAAAGTCACAGCAGTTGAACGTTCGCGCGGCTTTTCAGTCGGCCACACAGCTGATCCATTCCAGTCCAATGGTCAATTCAACAGTCACACATCTGATTTGTCATTTCCACAGCTGAATGATCTGTCCTGAAGTTAAATCAATCAGTCAAACGACTAATCAGTCACTTACACAACTGAGCTGAGAGTTGATTAGCAATCAAACACACACTTAATCAGGGACACAGGTGATACATCACAAATGATCAATTAATCAGTTATACAGACTATGGCTAGCTGATCAATCAATGAATCAGTTGATCAGCAATAAATCCCTTTATCACAGCTGATGTTCTCATCAGCCAAATGGTTAATGTTGGTGTATTGTTTATTATACATTTTAATCATTACTGTAATATTCATCTTTATTAATTCATAATAATTAATCTCTTTGAGTATTTGTATTGCAAATATTAAACATTCTCATTCTCTCCCTCTAAAGTTAACAGTAAACAAATGTGAATATAAAACTTGTGTGAATTGATCTTAAAACTGTAAACAACCTCGACTCAGATTGTTGACTGTGTGAATGTATTTTCATGTAAGCAGCTGTTTCCTCTGATCAATCGATGAAGACTCCTCCTGATGCATTATTGATGATGTAATGATGCTGACGGTTACCTCTGCGTCCTGTCAGGAAGCTTTTAACACGGTGTAAACGTTTCCTGTTTGTGTTTCTCTCAAGCTTCAACTGCTGGTGGAGATCGTCTGGCCACTCTTCATCTTCTTCATCCTCATCTCCGTGCGACTCAATTACCCGCCCTACGAACAACATGAGTGTGAGTTAAAAGATCAAAATATTGAAAAACAAACAACATGGATCATTTACTGTCTAGACGTGACTCGTGTGGCATGCTATGATTACATTAAAAAAAAAGAACATCAACAACACAACTCTGCATGACCCTTGACCTTGATCTACAGTCCATCTACGGACCATTGCATAGTTTGCATATTTGTGAGGTGAATTTGTTGATGCAGTTTGTAGGGTCTGCAAGACATAGAGATGTATGGGCCGGCATTTTCCTTCATTAATCATGTACATCATTTAAAAGCATGTACAGTTTGTACAGTTACAGTTTAATTAGAGGCATTATTATATCTATTCCTAGTAGACACAGTTGGAAAAAGTCACAGCAGTAAAAACTAACAGTTCAGATAAGCAGCAAAACCGCACATTATTGGTAACTTTTGAGGTCACTTCTACGTGTGATCCTCACATCACCTGTCAGGTGTTAATCTGTCACTGTTCACATGCTACAGATGAAGTTCTAGTGTTAGACCTGGTGCAGGATGGGAGTGTCCCTGGTCCCTATTATCAGTAGCTTTCAAACCCTTGCACCTGATATGAGTGAGAGTGAAGGCTGGATTGATATTTGATAATCTGTTATTGATTGATGGTATGGACAGCTGTGGAGAGAGAGGGTTAGTTCTAAAACCCCAAGTTTAATTTCAGCTGTGTACCAATGTGCCCCTGGGCAAGACAATTCAGCTCATTGTAGCAGACCGCCTACGAAACAAAGTCCTGGTGGCAGATGAAATGTAACGAACTGCATTAGAAAAATAACCCTAAACTAAAAAAACTGTGCCAAGTGATGGTTCTGGGGAGGAAGAGCAGAGGAAGTGTCCTGATTTCAAAATGTCACCCAAAGCTGCTCGTCCTCACTTTATGACTCTTTATTACAGGCTGTAATGTCAGTATCAGACCTGCTGAAGGTCATTCAGCCCTGTTTAATTGATAAGATTGTGATTGATTACATGAGAAGAACTTTAAGCTGCAGCTGAATGAGACCAATGTCCTGTAATGTACACCATGGTCTCCCCCACATCCTCACCTCACGCTGTTTTCAGCAAGACCTGAAGTCATTAACGTGAGCTCTGCTGCCATCAGTGGATCGATGATGATTTGCACTCATTTAAATATTATATATGAACCTCTTAAAACATTTTTGTATCTCCTTGTTCACTATTAGTACAGCAGTTACCGATTGGTACAATTTCACAACAAACACTCCCAAATTAAAATGGCTACAATTTACAATTTCTCCAAAGTCAACAGAGAAAACCATTGGTTAGTGGAGACACGTGAGCTGGTGGTCTACAGCTGCCTCTTCAGTAGGTTTGATGACTATGATATTTCACAATAAAGGGTTTCCAACACTGAGGTAATCAAATAAGACATTGAACTTTGTTAAAGAGGCTGCAGTGAATGAACAACTCATCTACGTCAAAATGTAATAACCTGCTAATTTCTCATGTGACTGTGTAGAAGAATGTGAAGGAAACCTCACTATCTCGTCCGACTTGTCTTAACACCAACATATTCAAAGCCAACAGAGCAGGGCTCCCGTGCTTCTCAACATCATTTCGTGATGTTTGACTTGATGATCATCCTCGATGTTGACCAATGTTTCTCTGGGATCACGTTACATGTCCCTGCTTCAGACTGTAGTCTCAGGAAGCTTTTGGTTGACGTCGTCTCCTTGTTTCTTCCTGTTTCCCCGTGAAAGCAGAAGCTGCTGAGGAATGTTTGTGCTGTGATTCACACAGCTGTGTGCGGCAGCGGCGTGTCGCAACTCGCCTCAGAGCGAGAGACGAAAGAGATGAAAGGTCACAAACTAGCAACTCTGTTCCACTATCTTTTGCTCACCTGAGAATAAAAATGAAAGGTCACCAACTATCATTACAAACTAATACCAGGAGCTGGTTAGTAGTGATCATTCAAGAAACTGGGCCATTAAAAACAAGTGACAAATAACTGACGCTTGAAGTATCACTTACTAATACAGTTAGAACAGAAACGAGTCAGTCTGGTTATGGTTTTTGGGCTGTGAAAGGGTAAGGATAACGGACCAGTTATTAATTGTGGTATTGGTTGGTGGAGCATGGATGGGAAATTTACGGTAGAACACATACAAGCCACATGGTAGAGGAGTGGTTATTGCTCTTGCCTTACAGGAAAAAGATGTCCAGAGCGTAAGTGTGAATGGTTGTTGCCCTCACTCTCGCACAATGAACGGTGTCGTTGGCTCCAGCTTCCGCTGTGACCCTGAAAATAATTTAGTAGTAGAAGACAAATGAGTGATACCAAAGGGGAAAAGTTTGTACCTCATTTTACTGTTGTTGTTAGCAGTTGAGCTGAGCAGACAGTTCCCAACCATGGTAACAACAAGACAGAAATGTGGTTTATCTGAGATTCTAGGGAACCCAAAATATGCAACCTTTCCATTTTGGAGCTGCTCACTTACTCACTTTGGCAAATTGCCTTAGCAAACACAAGATCAGAAACACGGAAAACAACAATAAACACCGAGATAACTGGATCCAACTGGCAACAGGACTGGTGTGTGTGTGTGGAGGGGGGAGAGAGGGGGGGGGGCAGGTAATTAGACATGATACATCAGAAAACATTGGTGTTGACGAAGATGTTGTTTATTGAAAAGTAAAAAAGTGTCTTTCAGTGTTGCTGAAGCTGCATCTATTATCTTATCTCTGCTGTTATTAGCCTGAGGTCACACAGTCTTAAAGTTCTGATAGTTGTCCCCTCTGAGGTCAAAGGTTGTCCCACTGCAGTGAGGAAACAGCATTCTCCTCCTGGCAGCAGCAGCAGCTGTTGTTGCTGCTGCTGCTGCTCTCCAGATGATCATAAACCAATCCCAGGTTATCTTTACCCGATGATGGCAGCCATCGTTATGAGATCAGTTCATGAATCAGTTCCAACGCAACACTTAGATAAAGACATCAGACACTTCTCGTCTTGCAGGACAGATGTGTCTTTACACGTGTAGAGCTGATCAGCCAGATCAATAATCAATAACTGTCGTCCCTCCCAGTCATTCATCCATTTAGAGTATACCATTTAGGGAAAAGTGTTTCTCATATTCGCTTTTTCACATTTTATTTCTTAATGTGCCAGTACTGACCTACTTCCTGTTTGTGTGGACTGCAGGTCATTTTCCCAACAAGGCAATGCCTTCAGCCGGAACTCTACCGTGGCTTCAGGGAATCCTCTGCAACGCCAACAATCCCTGCTTCAGAAACCCAACACCTGGAGAGTCTCCGGGAATCGTTGGCAACTTTAATGACTCGATGTACGAGAGGACACTAATTGAATCCTATTTTGACAAAAATGTGACAAAAAAAGTTACAGCTTTTCCTACACCATTTGACTTCTATCATCAGGAGTTTTTTTTTTGTTTTTCAGAATATCTCGTCTTTTTTCTGATGCCAAAAAGATTTTGCTCTACAGCCAAAATGACCAGAACCTGGAAAGCTTCAAGGAGCTTGCACGGGCCCTCAAGGCCCTACAGGACAGTCGCTCAGGTACATACAGAAGCCAGTCAACAGTAACTAACATTAGATCCAGAATTTACTTATTATTTAACATAATCTCTAATTGAAATTAAGAGTTTGCTATGTTAATGTTTGACATCTCTGTTAACCTTCACAGGATTTTTACCTCTTTATCCTTAGGGTTATATGTCAACCTTGAGGTTAGAAGTTCACTGCAAAACCATACTTATCTGACAAGCTTTTTATATCTTTCTAACCATCTTACACCAAACCCTTTTGACTGTCTTGTCTGTCATTTGAATTATTGCCTCCCTTTTTCACCTAATAATTGCAGGTGATGAGTAAGTGAGGCTACATGTTTCCTAGCCTTGATCAGACACTGTCACCGACATCCGAAATGTTACTGACAGCTGCTGTAAAGCTTGAGTTTTTTGTTCAATATGCAGCTATTTTCTTTGTTTCTGCCTCTCCTTTTCAGCCTCATTAAACAGAAAGTATTTTCCTTTGTTGTAAACACAGGTTAATCTCTGCAAGGGGGTTCCGTTTCTCTACTTGCTGTAACCTGCCCCCCCCCAATTTGTCCCCCCATGCCCCGCCCCTGCCATTCATACACCTCTGACCACATGAATGCTCCACTTTGAGCGGGGGCAGGGAGACGAGCTGTGACAAGTTCAGAGGCTCATGTGGGAAACTTACTGTACCTGATCTGGGTTCAGGTCCAAGTCCAGGTCTGAAAGCAGGTCAGGTCTCACCTGTGTCTTTGTGTTTTGTTCATAGGCTTCAAACTGAAACACGTTCTCAAAGATGATGAAACTCTGTCTAGTTTCTTGATGAAAAACGCATCATTGCCTGAAAACATCGTGCAACAGATAAATGATGGAAACATCAACCTAGAGAAGGTGAGGTCACCCTTTTCCACACCTGTCATGATGTCATAACACACATGTGCAAAAGCAATAGAGAATTAATTGGTTAAAATTAATTTGAAAAAATAAAAAACATTTTATCATGATGTTCTGTCCAATGTGCTGACCTGATCTTGTTTTCTGTGACTTTGTTTCTTTCTCATCCTGGTTGACTCGTTTGTCTCTCTGGTCCGACTCCAGGTCTTCCTCCGTGGATTTGGCGTCCACCTTAGGGACATGTGTCCCAGGAATGGAGGAGCGTCCATGGTAGAAGACTACGTGACATTCTCGGATCCTCAGGTGACAGCGTTTGTACAAGAAGTCATCTGTCGTTCGCCCACCGCCTGGTTAAACCTCGCTGAGGAACACTTCCTCAGTAGCCTGGACTTTCTCAAACCCATCCAAGTGAGTTTTCAGGTCACATGACTCAGGTTATAGCCGGGATTGGAGGAAACTTTCCCTAGAGCAGAAAACCAAGTTTGACTTCATTAGTAAATAAGGCCAACTGTTTAAGAACTGACTCACCTCTTCATGTTGTTGCCTGTTTTTCTTTGATGTAGTTGATGTTGCTTCTCAGCCTATGTTTGTTTTTTGGTTTTGAGTTTTAAATATATAGGCGTGTCAAAACAAGGGGATGTACGTTTGCATTTGAGGTGTGATGATTTTACCTCTGCTCAGGTGTGTGTGTGTGTGTGTGTGTGTGTGTGTGTGTGTGTGTGTGTGTGTGTGTGTGCGCACTGACTGTGTGTGCTGGCGTGGGAGGAGGCGTGTCCCAGCCTGTTCTTTTCCGCCTCCTGCTCAAGCTCAGTTTTCGTCGCCCGGAGACCAGTTTTCTGGGTTTGAAAGCGAGAAGCTTCTTTTGTGAGAAACAGGCTCAGACTGTCCCTGTTTCCAAAGCAACAGAGACAGAGACGTTTAGAGTCTCCCGGTCAGTCGTAAAACACAGGAGACAAAAAAGAGACACAAAGTTAACATCGGGACGTGATGGACTTCCCATTTTGTAGTGAACACAGAAAGAGTTTAGATAATGAATAAACATTATGATGTTGATTTCTTTCCGTACAAATACAAATGTCCTAGAATATCTATGCATCCAAACATCTTAGTCCTCAAGTGGATCGATCCCAATGTCCAAAGTTCTCAAAATGTTCTTTGTCTAATCCCATGTACCAACATTTCTGTGTTCAAACTGTCCTCTTATGCCTGTGTCAGACATTCTTGTCCCCTCAAGTCCCACTATCTTTACCAGCGTCCTCAAATCTTTATCCTAAATCATCTATGTCCAGACTTGCCATCACATTTTTTTTGTTTTAACATCTGTTTGTAAGACAATGTCTGACTTGATGTTGTTTGTAATATGTCTGCTTTATTGACACACCTGTTCTGACTTTCTCACTTTGCGTCTTTCAGAGGGATGTCACCTCTGATCCAGAGGCTGTGAGACAGGTTGCCATTGCGACTAACAACCTCCTGGACAGTCTAGGTTTCTTGGCAGTGGAGGTAAGGAAACCACACGTGATCATATCACCTCCACTTTGGAACACACATGTCCTCAGTTCCTTAATGTCGCCCCTGCTGGCTGCAGAGCAGGTCACTGGGTTTCCTTGGCAGTGTCCCTGCTTCTTTGTGTCCAGATGAAAGTAACGAACATACAAGAGCATCCAGCTGAACAAAGACTCTGAGACTCAGCAGGTTTTCACTTCAGAGTCTGAACAAACAACAAACACTCAGCTAGTGTCCCATTTTTGTCCCCACACTCAGCATGCTGCTGGGTCAGTGCAGCTGTGGACCACAGAGTACATGGACGTGTGACAGCAGTTGTCATCTCTGGGACTGGTCTGTTGGTATTTGGTGATTGCCTTTGCACTTCGATGTAGTGGGTTGAATTTTGGTTTGGATGGTGTGTAGAAAACACACTAAATATTAAGAATACACGTTAAATATTTGCAGCTCTATTTAGTGATTGCAGGGACAACAAAGTCCATGTTTTACACTGAAAAATATTGTGTCTCAGGCACATGATACCTCCATTGTCCTCACTCTGATAATCGGAGTAAAGGTCACTGTCTGGCTGACCCAGTTAGTTCACACTAAGATAATCACACAGCACACACACACAGGAGGTTAAAGTGGAAACATGGGACTGCTGAGGTTTGTTTGGTTTATATAATGCTGAGTCCAGAGAGCGAGACACAGACTCCCTACAGATGTTGCTTAAAAAAATCTTATTTTAAAACTTGAAAGTTTTTGCAATTTTGTCAGGAACTAAGATTCTAGGAGGATGTGAGTCAGCATCACGTGACCATGTTTTTAAGTGTGTCCTACAGTAACCCTTACCAGTGATTTCATCGGTTTGACAGCCTAGGTTAGCAAGACTCTGTATGAATGGTCGGCTGTGGCTGCAGATGAAGCTCCAGTAAAATTCTCTGATAGTTTTTGAAGAAGCACTGTTTATTCTTGAGTACTTATTACATGTTCTTTTGTAAGATTAATGTGTATAGACAGCTCCTCTGATTGTAAAAAAAGACATGTGATAATCATTGTTGGAGGAGGTTGAAATAAAAGGTTGTTGATGCAGAGATGTGACCAGGTGCCTGTAGGTATCCAATATGGTCTGGTATTATAATGGATTCATAATTTCCAGCATGAAGACAATGGCCATTATTAGAAATTTTGTTGGAGGGAAATGACACTTTTCACTTCAGCTACTTTTGACCATTTAAAATCATAATATTTTGTCACAGTGGATTGGTCTTTTTTGCACTAATGAACTAATTTAAAACTTGTTTGTCCTCCTGAACTGTAGTTGGCAGGTATGAAGAGCTGGGTGGCCCTAAGGAACGAGATCATCTTCCTGACCCACAACGCCACATCATCACCTAGTGCCATGTACCAGGCAGTGTCTAGGATTGTTTGTGGTCACCCTGAGGGCGGCGGGCTGCAGATCAAGTCTCTGAACTGGTACGAAGACAGCAACTACAAAGCACTTTTTGGAAACTACAACAGCAGTGAGGACGATGCTGCCGCTCACTACGACAATTCTTCCAGTGAGTATTCGTGGGCAGAGCTCCAATTCAACCTAAACTAAAATAGTGATTTAATGTATTTTTTACATTTTCTGTTTCTTCTGTTTCTTTAATCACAGCACCATACTGCAACAGTCTTGTCCAAAATATGGACTCTAACCCAATGTCCAGAATGATCTGGCAAGCACTGAAGCCACTGCTCATGGGAAAAATTTTGTACACACCCCATACGTCAGCCACACAAAAAATCATCCATGAAGTAAAACATCACGCCATGTTTTTCTCTCACTATTGGTTACAAGAGTTAGTAGAGCCAGTTCTCACCTGTGCCTGTGGTGTTTTCAGATGAACCGGACCTTCCAGGAGCTGGGTGTGTTCAGGGATCTTGGAGGAATGTGGGAAGAGATGAGACCGAAAGTGTGGGACTTCATGGAGAACAGTCCACAGATGGACCTTGTCAGGGTCAGCAGTCATTGCACACTGTCATTGAACTGATCACATGCCTCTGCAGAGATTCTATTCAGTCAGTTCTAATTGGTCAATTGTTTGTTGTAACAGACCCTACTGAAGAACAACATCACCGCCAGCTTCTTCCACGCTCAGCTGTCTGAAACAGACTGGACTGTTGCAGATTTGTCCAACTTCCTGTCGAAGAAGGTGGCTAACCGACGATCGCCCGGCAGCACTCTCACATGGAGGGAGGTTTTTAACGAGACTGACCAGGCCATCATGAGCATCTCCCGCTTCATGGAGGTTTGTCCACACAACACATATCATTCAGACCTGTGTGTGAAAAAGATAAGGTTAATACGAAAATAAGAACAAACCTAACATTTAGTCATTCACAATGTCAACAATAGAGTTGTGTGGATACCGCATGACATTACCTGTATGTGTGTTGTTGTCGTAACATAGTGTGTGAACCTGGACAAACTCCAGCCAGTCTCTACTGAGGAGGTTATGGTGAACGAGTCCATGATATTGTTGGAGGACAGGAAGTTCTGGGCAGGAATCGTGTTTTCAGACATCACCACCAACACCACCGAACTACCAGCCAACATCAGCTACAAAATCCGCATGGACATTGACAATGTGGAGAGGACCAATAAAATTAAAGACGCGTAAGACACACAAACCCTTTTCTGACTATATTCTGTCTAAACATATCTAAACAGTGTATCTGTTTAATTATTTTACTATATATATGTATAATTTATTTATTTTTATTATTTTATTTTATATAGTTTTTTTTAATGTTTCATTACTTCTCTGTTACCTCTAGCTCACTGAGTTAATGCTAGGCTAACCACTGTCCTTGGCAAATGCTAAGCTCTCAGCTTGTCAGTTTATCTACACACTACATAAAGCTGTATTCAGCAGCATCATAGCAAAAAGACTGGCTGGCCCCAAAAATTAATGGTTTCAAAATCCAGTGACCATGTTAGTGACCTTGCTTTTCAAACTGTGAAATCACCTGTGCTTTTAATCTTAGGTACTGGGACCCAGGTCCTCGGGCCGATCCATTCGAAGACATGAGGTACATCTGGGGTGGGTTTGTGTACCTGCAGGACGTCATTGAGCATGGCATCATCAGAGCCGTGACAGGGACCAAGGAGAAGACTGGTGTCTACATCCAGCAGATGCCATATCCATGCTATGTAGATGACATGTAGGATTATTTATTTTGTTTGTTCAAAAGAGAAATTAATTCAGAGTCTGAGAATTTTTTCTAACCTCACCTTGTTTCACTAACCTCAGCTTCTTGCGTGTGATGAGCCGCTCCATGCCGCTCTTCATGACTCTGGCATGGATGTACTCGGTCGCCATCATCCTAAAGAGTGTTGTGTATGAAAAGGAGGCACGGCTTAAAGAGACTATGAGGATCATGGGTTTGGACAACGGGATTTTGTGGCTCAGCTGGTTCATCAGCAGCCTGATTCCTCTGCTGATTAGTGCTGGGCTGTTGGTGCTGGTGCTCAAGGTAATGATACGAAATACATGATTGCAACTGATGTCACTGAAGTTAACAAGTTGGCCAATGTTTCCCCACATGTTATTGAAAAAAACTTAAGAAGTTGCACGATATAAAATGTTTGGAGATACCTACACTAGTGCACTGTAAATTGTATTTATTTAATCTACATTTAAGTTTCAAAAATGTGATTTACTTGATGCCCCTAACATCACCATGTTTTGGTCACATTTTCCTCTAACACACTGGTTTACCCCTCAATGTCATTGTCTCTGCTGCAGAAAGGAAACCTGCTGCCCTACAGTGACCCTGGTGTAATCTTCCTCTTCCTTGCGTCCTACGCTGTAGTGACTATCATGCAGTGTTTCCTCCTGAGCACAGCATTTGCACGAGCGAACCTGGCAGCAGCATGTGGAGGCATCATTTACTTTACACTCTACCTGCCCTATGTGCTGTGCGTCGCCTGGGAGGATTACATTGGCTTCGGCACCAAACTTTTCGCTGTAAGTGTGAGAGCATTCGCTATCAGGATGCTGTGTGGTGATTGGACCATGAAACATCATGGGTCATGTGACTTTCTTCACCTCCACAGACTCTCCTGTCTCCAGTGGCTTTTGGGTTTGGCTGTGAGTACTTTGCCCTGTTTGAGGAGCAGGGCGTCGGGATCCAGTGGCTGAACCTTCTGACTTCCACAGAAGACGGTGGCTTTAACCTCCGCACTGCCATCATCATGATGTACTTTGACTCCTTTCTGTATGGTCTCCTCACCTGGTACATTGAGGCCGTGTTTCCAGGTGAGTGGGGAGTTGTGGTGATTGTAATAGTGGTGACGGTGATTAGTCATAAGAGTGGATCACTGAATTATTCTACCTAATATGCAGTCGACCTTATTATGTTTTAATTGTAATATTTTAAAACAAGTAAGATGCTACTGAAGCTGCTTATGTCAACAGACCACTTTAATGCAACTTCTACAAGTGTTAAAATAATTATTAAAAATCTAAAAATATTCTGTATCCTCAGGTCAGTATGGAATCCCTCGAATTTGGTATTTCCCATTCACCAAGACCTATTGGTTTGGAGAAAAGGAAGGGAAGTCCAGCAGCATTCCACTCAACCGGACTGGAAACCAAAGAGGTGACTTTGCAAGAACATTAAACTCCAGTAACCACAGTGTGGCACTGCAGCACCAAAAGGACAAACATACACAAAGCTTTGATTAAAGATTTTTGCTCACTAAATTATTATTTTATATCTAGCTGTGTGTATAGAGGAGGAGCCAGCTCACCTGGAGCTCGGTGTTTACATTGAGAACTTGGTAAAGGTTTACCGCCATGGGAAAAAGCTTGCAGTGGATGGACTGACACTGGGCTTCTACGAGGGGCAGATCACGTCCTTCCTGGGGCACAATGGAGCAGGAAAAACAACCACGATGTGAGTACAGGACTAAACAGTCATAAGCTTATTCTACCTTCTATGCTAAGGATTCTGGTTACTTCCTCTGCATTTATTTCCTGATCTCATAGTCTACTAATATCTTAAAACTGCAGGTCAATCCTCACTGGTCTGTTCCCCCCCACCTCCGGCACTGCCTACATCATGGGCAGAGACATCCGTACAGACCTGACAGCGATTCGACAGAGTCTTGGAGTCTGTCCGCAACATAATGTTCTTTTCAGCATGTACGTATCAAAGTGGAATCCTTTTTACAAATATAAATATCTGATATTTACTAAAAGTCACCTGCTTGTGCTTCGGGGTCTCCTGCAGGCTGACAGTGGAGGAGCACATCTGGTTTTATGCACGTCTCAAAGGTTTGTCAGAGGAGCAGGTGAAAGGAGAGATTGAACAGATTCTACAGGACACTGGACTGCCACATAAACGCACAGCCCGGACCAGCACTCTGTCCGGGGGCATGCAGAGGAAGCTGTCTGTGGCCCTGGCTTTTGTTGGTGGGTCAAAGGTTGTGATTCTTGATGAGCCAACAGCTGGTGTTGACCCCTATGCACGTAGAGGAATATGGGATCTGCTGCTGAAATATCGACAGGGTAAGATGAGTAGAATATGGTAAAATATATGTCATTAAGATTTATATATGATGAAGTCTCAGATTTACACGTAAATGTACAATTAATATAGCCCAAAATCTATGTTGTAACTGAGTGCAGAGCTTGTAAAATCACAGCGTTTACCTCCTCTAATTTTTCAACAGGGCGCACTATCATCTTGTCCACTCACCACATGGACGAGGCGGACATCCTTGGTGACAGGATTGCAATCATTTCCCACGGAAAGCTTTGCTGTGTGGGTTCTTCCTTGTACCTGAAGAACCATTTAGGGACAGGTTATTATCTGACACTGGTCAAGAAAGATCCAGAACCATCGCTGAGCTCCTGTAGAAACTCTTCCAGCAATGTATCCTTCAGCAAAAAGGTCTGTCCTTGTGATCCTAGTACCTC